TTCTAAATAGACCAGGCCCAGAGGTTCCCCCAGATATCCAGCCTTTAGAAATGAACTGGATATCAACTGTGAGATACCATCCAAAGAGGAAATTAGAAAGAGCTATAAATCTTCTCAAGGAAGGAAAGGCGACAGGCCTAGATGGTATCCCAGCTGAAGCCATCAGGACCAACATAAACACATCAACAGAATTGCTACATAGATTATTCAGTAAAGTCTGGGAGACCGAAGAAATACCAGCAGACCGGAGAGAAGGATATCTTGTGAAACTGCCCAAAAAAGGTGATCTACAGGAGTGTGAAAACTATAGAGGAATTATGTTGCTGTCAGTTCCTGGAAAAATATTAAGTAGAATTATTTTGGAAAGATTAAAAGATGCTATTGATAAAATGCTAAGAGATGAGCAGGCAGGTTTTCGGTCAAACAGATCCTGTATTGATCAGATAGCCACATTACGTATTATAATAGAGCAAAGCATTGAACTGAACTCACCACTTTACATTGGATCTAGACTATGAAAAAGCATTTGACAGCATTGATAGGGAATCTCTCTGGAAATTGATGGGGCACTATGGAATCCCACAGAAAATTATCAACTTAGTGAAGGCAACATATAAAGACATGAAATGTCGAGTTCTTCATGAGGGAAAGCTAACAGATGCATTTGAAATAAAAACAGGTGTGCGACAGGGATGTCTTTTGTCGCCTCTCTTATTTTTACTGGCCATAGACTGGACTATGAAAACAGTAACTGCTAACACCAAGAATGGAATTCAGTGGACCCCTACAAAACAGCTTGATGATCTGGACTTCGCTGATGATATTGCTCTTCTGTCCCATTCACGGAATCAGATGCAAGATAAATTAAATATACTTAATGCGAGATCACAGCAGCTTGGTCTGAAAATCCATAAAGGAAAAACAAAGATAATGAGAATAAATCAGGCAAATAGTAATGTGGTTTCTCTTAATGGCACCCCACTCCAAGACATGGAGTCGTACACCTATTTAGGCAGTAATGTAGATAAAGATGGAGGAACTGATAGAGATATTAAAATAAGAATACAAAAGGCAAAAAGGGCTTTCATAGCACTAGGGAATTTGTGGAGGTCAAAAGAAATTAAAAGAAATACTAAACTAAAATTGTTTAATTCTAATGTCAAATCAATACAATTGTATGGGGCGGAAACATAGAGAACAACCAAGGCAATTACTAATAAATTACAGACATTCATTAACTGGTGCCTGCTCAGAATAGAGGGAATAAAATGGTATGATAGAATAACTAATGTAGAACTTTGGGAGAGAACTAAACAGGACCAGTGGATCAGGAAGTGAGGAAAAGACGCTGGCGTTGGATAGGGCACACACTGAGAAAACAGGAGAACAGCATAACTAGAATGTCTTTGCATTGGAACCCACAGGGACATAGGAATAAAGGAAGGCAAAAAAAAAAAAAAACACACATGGAGAAGAGAGCTGGAGAACGAGGTTAGAAAGATTGGGAGGACATGGGGAGAGCTCCATGCAATGGCGAAGGATAGAACGACTTGGCGTGAGTTGGTTGAGGGCCTTTGCTCCATTGGGGGATAGAAAGGCAGAAGAAGATATAAATTATGCGCCGTCTTCACAGTGAAGGTTGGCTGCAATGAATTTCCAACATGGTCTGCCTCTAGTCCTGGGTGTACACTCTCTAAAGGCTGCTGCCAATCCATCTCTTGATATTGTTTTCCCACATGAATCGTTGCCCCCTTTTTGCCTTTGAACTTTCTGTCCAGTAAGGTTTTCAAAAGCCTGTTACGTCCTACCCTAATAACGATCTATTCCAGTTTTTTTCCCCCACTGTTTTATATCATTTGAGTTGAGTCAAAAACTGACATCACAGCACTTGGGACATTTCCATACTCACTCCACCCTCATCTTCAGCAAATAGCAAAAAATGAAAATTCTGCTGGCAGTTACAGCTTCATTATTTGTCGGTCTCGCCTATCCTCTGAAGGGGCAGTGTCGACCAGATCCCCTGTTACTTCCCACTGTAACATTCTCACCAGAACATAGTGGTCTATTCACGCCTCTGCATTATTCACTTGCTCCCAAAAAAGCCTTGACCACATCCATCTAGATTATTCATTCATGTACATTTACCGTCCAGCGGTTCTGAATCAGTGAAGTAGTCTATAAAACTGCAACGTGGAACCAGTCAACTTCACATTATCACACACGACAAGTAAATGTTACAGCTGGGAAGCTTTTATCAGCACATTACATGAATCTCACACAATACCAACAAAATATGAACAAATATGCACAAAATCTCCTAGTTTATTTACTTTCCTTGTGACATTGTTCAGTTGAATTTCGTGAACTGACATAACAGCTATTATGACATTTCCATAAGCGCTCCTTCAGCATCCAGCTAAGAGTTCCAAATACAGTGGTGCCATTAGCAGCCCAACAGTATATCCGTATTTCTTTTCCTCTGAGTGTGGAGTGTCAGCAAGATCTCATGACCACTCTAGGCTGCACCATTCACTTCAGACCATGATGTTCTAATTGTGCCTCCACACTGTTCACTAGCTCTTAAAGGGCCTTGATAATATCTAGTTTGCAATGCATCAATTTACAACCAGGGCCATAGAGAAATTCTCAGAATATCTTGGGCAAAGAAGAGGAGAAATACTGACATCTTGAAAGATCTGAACATCAAGGAAGATTGGCTAATAAACAGCATCCTGTCTCGGAAACTGAAATATTTTGGGCATATCAAAAGGCCACGACGAATTGGGAAAAATAATAGCAGAAGGCAGGTACCAGGAAGAAGGGGCAGGGGCCGACCAACACGAAGATGGGTACAGGATATAAGTGACTCCTTGAGTATGAAAGTACATGACGCGGGAGTGCTGGCGAGAGACCGAGTTTCTTTCAGGCAGACCGTGATGAGAGCGACGTTCTGCAAAGGACCCGCTACATGATGATGATGAGTGCAGAACCAGCTAGTCTGTCTGCCTGTTCGCTTCCTAACACATCTGCACACCTGAGGAAATTTCCTAAGGATAGTGATTGTATCAATGCTTTTTCCAGGAAACATGCTTTAATTAGTTATGAATCCCTTTCAGAGGTCGGTGTTATTAACTTTAGAGTTAATTTGTGTCTGTATTCACTTATTGATCAGTGTTCTTCAATTGGTAGGCCGCGGCCCATTAGTAGACTGCAAAAAGGTCCAGGTAGCGCGCCACAGTGTTTGTCAAATTATGTAACCGAAAAGGGTATGTAGTTTTTTTTTTTTTTTTAAAATCTTCCATGACCACAGTTTGTTGGATTAACACATACGGAATGAAAATCAAGCAGGTACAAATCCAGGAAACCCCTTTCTTACCTCTCTGCAGCAGATGTCGCATTAGCTGTAAACTGTAATTTTATGACAACGAATTTAATAAAATTACTGCTGCCTATATTTGTTTGTGTTTCTGTGTTTAGTTGGCTGTCAGTTGGGCAGTGAAACAAGTTTCCTGTTTTGGTAGGCCGTTGTGTTTGGTTCGGTTTATACCATGGATCACATGATGGCACAAGGCTATTAACCTATAAGTGCTCCGTTCTACTTTTAACTCAAGCCTCCGAAGAATCTCAGCACAGCGAGGATCCTGAAATACATTAGGTAGATTTTTAACTATAAATTTTGCCCGGTTGGCGCCGTTAGGCTACTCATTTCCATTTCCAACTGCCAATGGATTTTTTTTACGTGCTCAGCAATGTAAACGTGCGTCTAATCTAACTACTCAGAGACTAGGGGAAATTACTAGAAGTCCACGTGATGAAAAAATCACAACCTTCAACAAAGCCTGAACCCGGGACCTACAGCACTCGAGGCGGACGCTATACCATGAGACCACTGAGGCCCCCCCCCCTACCCCCCGGCCCCCCCATTGAGGAACACTGCTCTAGGTAGACTCAGGGTAACAGGTTATAATCTGTTTATGGGTAAGAATGCAGATTTGCATCACCATCTGTGGCTTTACACCAGGACTAGTTATTACATAAACTGGAAAGGAGGAAACGAAACAAATGACATAATTATTGTGTGTTGGCGATAGACAGCGTGCACTGCCCTGCTATAATCATACGGTTACGGTGTGGGTTAAGGTTACGATTAGTGTCGCCGCATCTCGTCTTCGCACAAACTCAAAGTAGCAACCCTAACCCTAAACCTAACCCAAACCCTAACCGTATGATGACAGTAGGGCACTGCACGCTGTCTATCGCTAACACACAGTAATTATGTCACTTGTATCGTTCCCTCTAATCCACTCCGTAATGCGTCGCAAAAAGCGGTAATTGAACGCGGTCGCTAATTTGAGTCGCAGCGCGGGGTCTGCCAGGCATGTCAACCTCACTTTGTTTTCTGATTCGTGCCTTCTCCAGTCCGTAATTGCACTGCAGCCAGGGGACAGAACTCTGACCAACGGGCCGTCAACTGTTGTCTACCGGCCGTAGTTGAATGGAGAGCCCTGAACATATCTACATAAGAGGTGAGAAACCAACACACAATAAGCCAAACTTTAAAAAAAAAAGTGGATGTCGATGCAACAAGCTTTGAAACAAGATTAAAGTTTGAACGTAACCAGCTTACACTAGAGTTCGTAGCCGGTGAACATAAGAAAAGATGCATAAGTTGTTATTCCCAACAATTTTGACAGGACAGTAAGTAGCCTTACTACCTACGATTGGTAGTATGACTGTTGTAAGCAAGTATTACTTGTAAGATTATTATCAACAGCATTATTTTTACATCGCTGCACATATAAGTTTTTTTATTTTTAATTCCAGGGATTTTGTTTTAAATGGCAGAATGCAATATATACAGCCACCTTTTTTTAGACATCAGTTTTTCAGTCTACTGTAATAACTCTTTGTGGTGAGCACCAACTTATTTTTTTTTTTTAAAACTTTTGCTTTAGAAAGAGAAGTCCTTGTTATTTCTGATAAACAGGTTATTATTTCACTGCAGTCGTCTCGATGTTGTTGGTGTAAGAATTCTGATATGTCATCTCAGTTGTTCTAGTTGCCGACGAACACAATCCTAGTGCAATTCCTTTAGTCACGACAAACTGGCAAGGCGAACAGTAGAAAAGTCTGCGAAAACGTGTGCGCACGGCTGTGATCTTCAATGCATAGACCACTGGATTTATGAGGCTGTTAAGATAAGCTGTGACAGTGGCGTACATGAGTATGTTGCCTTGTTCTACTACTGTCTTGTGTCGAAGGTTGCCACAGACAAACATCATCAAGACAATTCCTGGAAACAAAAGAACAATTAGCCCTTTTAGCGTAAATTCGTGTGTTAGTTCCATTGCCCCTTTTATGTGGGGAAAAGGATGTAATGTACCCACTGACTCTTAACAGAAAAGTCAAGGACCCTTTTCCACGCCATCAGGCCGATAGGGCTAGATAGTTCCCCCCTCCTCTTTCCCCCCCCCCCCCCCGCTCGCCAACACACTTCTTCTTCTTCTTCACTTCCTCTTTTACCGCTGTAGGTGTCGAGGGAGATATAAGGTTCTGTTTCTAGCTCTTCTGGCCGCCTAGACCATAGGCACATCGTGCTGTTGTAGAGTTTCTTTGATGTTATCCTTCCATCTTGTTCTTGGTCTACCTCCTTCTTCTCTTTCCATGTATGCTTTATATGGTATGGTGTCACAAGGCATTCTCTCTCAGTGGGCAAACCATTTCACTTGCTGTCTTTGTATGTAGTTTAGAATTAGTTCTGTGCCGACTTTTTCTCTTATGATCTCATTCCTGATCTTATCTCTTATGGTCACTCCTTATGATCCTTCTCAGACATCTCATTTCCATGGTTACTAATTTTCTTTTATGGTTTGTTGTGAGTGACCATGTTTGGCACTGGTAGCACAGAGTTGGAATAAATATGCTTTGAATAAGATGTCTCTTTGTACTAAATGGGATTGTCTTATGCTGTAAGTGGGAAAAAAAGGGGGGGGGGGTAGCTGTTCCAATACTTGGTTTGCTTTACTGCATCTAATGTTAATTTCTTTATCCAATTTCCCATCTTCGGTAAATGTAGTTCCCAGATATTTAAACTCAGATGCCTGTTTAATGCCTTTGCACTCTATTGCTATGTTTAGATCTGTCTTCTTTTTTCCTATTGACATTACTTCTGTCTTTTCAGTGTTGATTCTCATATTATTTGTTTTACATTCTTCAATCATGGATGTTAGATGTTGTTACAATTTCATGGCTGTATCTGCTAGCAAGGCCTGGTCATCTGCAAAGAGTAATTCGTTGATCTTACTAACATTTTCTTTCATGGGCTTGGCATTCTTGCATATACTGTCGATGTAGGTGATAAACAGCAGTGGTGATAAGACACACCCCTGTCTTACTCCAGGTGATACTGTGAATGGATGAGATGTTGCCTGATTTATTCTAACTATACTTCTACAATCCCTGTATAAACTTTTGCACACTTCGATGAGGTGTTCGCTTACTCCATATCTTGCCATTACTTTCCATAATAATTGTCTGTCGACTCTGTCAAATGCCTTCTCCTGGTCTACGAATGCCACAAATAAGTAACACACCAACACACACACACACACAATATTATTATTATTTAAATATCGTGCAACCAGCTGAGCAGTATAGTCATATTCTTACACAGACGTCGAATGGCAAACCTAGACACTGATGAATAAGCTGAGGTGAGAATCTGAGCACCTATGGATGTGTCCTGAGTGCCACTCAACTTAAATATGTCCAGACAGACAGATAGATAGATAGACAGACAGGCTGTTAGGCAGATAGATAGATAGACAGGCAGGCAGGCAGGCAGGCAGGCAGGTAGGTAGGTAGGTAGGTAGGTAGGTAGGTACGTACGTACGTACGTACGTACGTACGTACATACATACATACATACATACATACATACATACATACATACATACATACATACATACATACATACATACATACATACATACATCAGTTAGATAGATAGGTAGACAGTTAGATAGATAGGTAGACAGTTAGATAGATAGATAGACAGTTAGATAAATAAATAGACAGTTAGATAGATAGATAGACAGTTAGATAGATAGATAGACAGTTAGATAGATAGATAGATAGATAGACAATTAGATAGATAGATAGACAGTTAGATAGATAGATAGACAGTTAGATAGATAGATAGACAGTTAGATAGATAAGCTAAGACAGAAACATGTTGCAGAACTCACCTACAGGCAGCCAGCAGAAGAAATACAGTCCCATGATAATAAGCACGGTTTTCGTATACTTCCAGGCGTGGTGGTATTTGCGAACAGTAGTCCTGTCAGTGTGGCTCTGGGCATCTATCAGACGTGCATGCCTGTTCGCTACCTGAACGACAGGCATAGAGTACAGAATGTTGAATTTTTGATTAAGAATATACATCACAGCACTCAATGCACTCCCATAAATACTCAGTCCCTATCAGCAGCAAGCGAAGAGCTCCAGTTCCGATGTTACCAGTAACCGTCTGATTATATATCCGTCTCATCCTTCCCCTGAGTGTTGAACGTCGGCCAGATCCTCTGGTAACTTTAGGATATCCCCTGCTTCTTCCCTATCAAGCAGGCAATACTAGGGTGACCGTTTACTTCCTGCACTGAAAGAATACCTTCTATGGATTTTGTACTAGGCATAGAGTACAGATGTCAGTGAAACGGATTCACTTTTTAATGCATGCACTAAAGACATATGTTTCATTTAAGATGTTTTCAGGTCTTGTAGTAAATTTCTAATTTAATTGTAACAGGTTAGTAATTGGCGTTAGCAAACATTTTACCGAAAACATATTTGTTCGTTTTTTATTAGTCACAAATCGTGTCCTTTTTAAACTTATTTATTCCATTCCGCTCCCCGCAACATATATATTGAATAATCTTGCTTATTAATACAGATTATGAACTAAATCATTTAGTACTAAGCAACTTAGACATCTAGATGTCCCCCCCCCCCCCCCCCCACACACACCACTGACAACTTGAAGACGTAATGACATAGGAGGTGGTTTTCTGCAACTGCTAAGGAACTCGATCCTCAACGAAATTAAAAATATGTGTCGTGAGAGAAAACACCCAGTAGTCCAAGAAACATTAGTTAGTTATTCCTCTTGTGCCAAAGATGGCGCATAGGGCAGAGGTCATAGCTTTCCACGTCTGTCGGTTCTTTGCCACTTGATGTAGGTCTTGAGTGCGACTGAGACCTATGGTTGAGCTCTCCCTTGTGATGGTTCTACGGAGAGTTTCTTTTGGTCTTCCCTGTTTTCTTTTACCCTCTGGTGACCATACGAAGGCTTGGTGGGGAAGTCTCTGTATGTCCATTCTGAGTACGTGACCGATGTAATTCCAGCGACGCTTTCTAATAAAATCAGACACATATTTTTGATTTGTTTCCTGTCTTATAGATGTATTGGACCTAAAGTCCGACCAGTGAACATTCAATAGCTTTCGGAGGCATCTATTCTCGAAAGCGACTAGTTTCTTATCGATTGATACTGATGATTTCCACTCTCACAACCATAAGTTAGCACTGGGATCACACAGGAATTGAAGACCTTAAGTTTCGTGTTGTTGCTGAGTGATCTTGACTTCCAAATGTTTGACAGTTTGTTAAAGGCACTTGATGCTAACGCGATTCGAGTCGTTATTTCTGATGTTGTATCTCCCGCAGAGGTTATCTTGCTCCCTAAGTATGTGAAGCTGGTGATTTTTTCAAGAACAATATCCTTTAGTTTGATGTCTTTCGACTCGTTGGTAAGATCGATGATTTTCGTTTTAGCTGCGTTGACCTGAAGGCCGATTTGGCTTGAAATATTCTGGAGGCGGTCCATTTTTTCCTGAGCTTCTAGATGTGTTGTGCTCAGGAGTGCTAGGTCGTCAGCAAAGTCAAGATCTTCGAGAACTTTGTCGACCCATTTGATGCCTAGATGTGTGTCCTGTGTGCAAGAAACATACCTGCTATGAAAAACCAAATACAAATTTAAATCTCGGTGGACAGTGTATTATGCCTAAATCAAGAAAGAACGTTGTAGCCGTGATGGTCAGAGAAACAAAATCGTTCACATTTCAGGCCAGAGAAACCTGTTGACAAAAGAAAGATCTTTCAGATCTCTGGAGTCAGAGAAATAAGTCTGACACAAGAAAGAACTGTGTGATCTCTTTGATTAAAAAAACGCATCTAACAATGAAATGTTGAAATCTGTAGTCAGAAGTTCACGATTGGGTTCTTTCGTAATAAGTCACCCCATAAAACGTCATGGGCACATTACAATATTTTATAGGGTGGTAAGGCCTGGTTTTCCGGCTTTGTGGTGCTTTCAACTATCCCAAAACAGCTTGAACTGGACCTAACCCCAACCCACCTACATCCCACGATAAAGTGCAGCTTAGGTTCCACGACTGTGGGCAGCCTATCTGCCATCCCCTGAAATGTCGGACTGCCTGTTTATTGTGAATAAAACGAAAGCGCCCACGATTGGTACCTCTAATTAAAGAATCATTTTGTGACACCTAGCTCTTGTTTTCTTCCTTTTTGATAATTTCCTTAGCCGTCTCACTGAAAACCTATTTATGTGCATACTAATTATTTAAGCTAACAACTTCTCTGTCAGTATTGTAAAACATTGGCACACAATCAGGGTCTTACCTTAAAGATATGTAAATACAGCAGGCTCATGATGAAGAATGAGATCACAAAAATGGCCACCAGAAGGATAGCAAAGCCACTGTGTAGATGTCCAAAGAAAGAGCACACCGGAACGTATTCCTAGTGCATAAAGATGTTCAAGTCACCAATGTCACATTTTTACATAAGTATAAGTAACTTAAGTAAAGGACATTTCGGTTATTTTCCGAATAACGGTCCCAAATTATCGAGGCCGAAAATATACCCTAACAGGGCCTCAGGACTTCTAGCGACTTAAATCGCGCACTTCCGGCGACTACCGCCACCGCCGAGAGTATCTCCCACGCCGCTTCGTGCCGCGTGGATTTTATTTGTTTGTGAGTCCCAGCCATCTACTTCAGCCCCAATCCACGCCGCGCGTGTGAGATACTCTCGGCGGTGACGGAAATCCGCAATTTACATGTGATTGAGGCCCTGTTAGGGTATATTGTAGGCCGCGATACTTCGGGACCGTTATTCAGAAGATAGCCGACATTTCTCCCCTTGTCGCACAGAGGATATGATAGAAAGTCAAGGTAAATGACCGGGAGTCTCCCCGGTGAAGTGGTCAGGTAGCAAATTGTAGGCTCATTTCCCTGACTACGTCGGTCAGTTCACGAGTGCAATATGTAGATCCCTGAGGATCGCCACCGTAGCTACGAAGTTCTTGCTTTGTGCGACGTTCTCGGCAGGCATCTAACCGTTATGTGGAGAGGGACTGAGCCATATTGGATAAAACCAGTTACAACTGAGTCAATCGCCTCGACTTTAACTTTTTTATATTAAAAGTAAGGGCCCTGTTTTACGTCAATGGCTCGTCAGGCACATGATGATAGACTCAAAATTGGTATAAAATCCTTCCATCTCCCTGTGAGATGCAATTTTTCTCTATTGTGAAGCTCCACCCAGGCTCCTGCCAGGGGCCGCAATATAGCCCGACCATAAATAGGGTCTAATGGCTGAACGCGGTTTCTGGGACCTCTCCACGGGTGATCCTCATCCACAAGGTGGCACTCTGTGTCATCGGGTGTTTATCGCTTGAGTGATGTCCTAGTGGGGTAAAATCGACTACTACTACTTCTTCTTCTTCTTCTTCTGCCTTTTTATCCCCCAATGGAGCATAGGCCCTCAACCAACTCACGCCAAGTCGTTCTATCCTTCGCCATTACATGGAGCTCTCCCCATGTCCTCCCAATCTTTCTAACCTCATTCTCCAGCTCTCTTCTCCATGTGTTTTTCTTAATTATTCTCTAATTCCTTTGGAGCTTTCTATGCCTGCTTGTGTTCCATGGGTGCCCAATATAACATTTTAGTTAGGCTGTTCTCCTGATTTCTCAGTGTGTGCCCTATCCCAACGCCAGCATCTTTTAATCACCTCCTGATCCACTGGAACCTGTTTAGTTCTCTCCCAAAGTTCTACATTAGTTAGCTTCTATCAATACATCATTTTATTCCCTTTATTCTGCGCAGGGCACCAGTCAACGGAATGTCTATAATTTATTAGTAATTGCCTTGGTTGTTCTCCATGTATGTGCTTAACGCAACAACTACTACTAGTTAAAAACTGGTATAACATCAGTCGACATCTAGGTCTGGTAAAGGTCCCCGGGGTCAACATCACACTGGCTTCCTTTACTTCCCTGAACATTACCTGTATTTACTCACTTTACACTGGCAGTCTCTGACATCAAATCCTAAGTGAAAACAATACCCGCTCAGGAGCTGTGCGTTGAATTCGACACTGTTAAGAGCGTCGACAATTCCCTGTGTAATGAGAAACTACTCAAGGTAATATGTATAGCCTAGTAAAATCACACACAACTGGCCGTTTGTGATGCCTAGGTAATGTGTATTGCCTGTTATGGGTGCCCTAAATATAACTTTTTTGGAGGTTGAACAAGAAATCTGGGATTTGCCATATTGGTCTGCTTCCCTGATGGAGATTTTGTAATCTTCGGGTGTACTTTAACCCTTTAGGCTGCAGGCAGTACAGAGGATACATAAGAAGTCATTTAGCTGGTTAAGACCCAATACCATCAGACAGCTCTGCGTTGAATTCGACACTGTTAAGAGCGTCGGCCATGTTTGGTTTGTGACATGAGAAACTACTCAAGGTAATATGTATTGCCTAGTAAAATCACACACAACCAAAAATGCTATGTTTGGTTTGTGACATTCTGTAAAGTGTGTGCAAATATGGGGGTTAAGAAAAGAATATCATGCAATGGGTTACCATCTAAATTTATACATCTTAAATGTAACACTGTAGTAACTGCATGAGACATCTGCAGGTACGAAAAAAATATCATTCAGTAATTTGCCAATAAAAGTACAATGAGTAGGTTGATAGCTAAATAATTTTAATGTATGCATTTTAAGACCACTATTGTAACCAAAAGCTCCTTAGGGGCTGTTGAACATGGCCTTATTTTTCCCCCTTTTTCAACCAAAGTGAGATGTTCATGACTCTTACGATGGAATCATTGGAGCGCAGCTGCGAGTACTCTTACGTGCCTGGCTGAGCAGTGGTCGTGTATTCGAGTCCTTACGAGGCGGGATATTCACATAAAATTAACCAGGCCTTTCGGAAGCCATGGTAGCGCAGTAGCAGGATGCTTGCCTGGTCGTCACGAAGTCTTCATTCCGAAACCGCATTGAGATCCATTTTTTACTGATGGGCCTCTTACAATAGGTCGACCTACCCGAAAATGGGTACCAGCAACTGTCCTGGGAAGAAAAGGCGACCGGCCTTTTGTTTACTACATGCCTGTACTTTCTAATATTTGTGCTGGGAAATATGAGGCTTAAGCGGCCTGCGCGTCCCATACCACGATGAAAACACCAATCAGGGGCAGCGGTATGCTGGTCGAGTCGGACGAACCGCCTTAGCCTGGCGCAGCTATACGCCAAGTAAATTGAACACTGAGTGTCTGAGAAGACGTAAATACACGTGATGACAACAACGGTCCTGAAATCCCATGCTATGTGAGAGGATGACTTTTCTTACTGCAGTCGTCTTAGTCAAACTCGCCATCGCCATGGAATGTAATTTCCATGCCTCCCCATGGCACAGCATAACACTATCATCATCTGGAAAGAGGGGGCTACGTGGTCTACAGGTATGATGTCCGCCTCGAGTGCTAGAGGTTCCGGGTTCAATCCCCAGTAAGGGCTGGGATTTTTTCAAGAGGACTTGGACTTCTAGTAATTTCCCCTGGTCTCTGGGTAGTGAGATCGGACGCCCGTGTGTATTGTTGCGCACGTAAACAATCTTATCGCAGTTGGAAATTGAAAACAGTAGCCTAACGGGGCTGCCCAGGCAAAATTTGAAGATGAAAATCTACACAAAGTATTTCAGGATCCTCGCCGGTGCAGAGCCTGTTCACTGTGACTTGAGTTAGAAGAAGAACGAAGCACTTATGGGTTACTAACCGTGTGCCAAGATGTTGATCCGACGTTCAAACCTTAAACCGTCTGAATAGACGGAAAGGTGGGGTAAACAAGCAAAACACAATATACCAAACCCACCCTTGTCGTGAAAGAAGAGCCTCCAATTCACTTACGTTTGGGATAATGGTGTACAAGCGACCATCTGTGCGCATGTCATAGCAGTTCCAGCCCAAGGTCGGGGCAATGGCCACAGCGACTGACATCGCCCATAGCAGGGCGGACAAGATGACCACTGTTGTCATTTTACACAACTCCCTGAGGAGAAATAACAGTAACATGTAACATGTTCATTCTCATGTTAATCTCACGCTGGACATCTTTGTCACCTCTTATTTCTCTCTCTCTCTCTCACACACACACACATATGCAAGTGCTCACACACGCACACCCATACACAGGCACACACGCACGCGCACACACACAGACGTCCACAAGCAAAACTCATCCTCTCTCTCTCTCTTCTCTCTCTCTCTCTCTCTCTCTCACACAAACGGGCGCGCGCGCACGCAGACATTCGCACAAAAATATATACAAGGTGACTGAAGAGTAATTTCCTAATTTAAAATACTTATAAAAGTAATTTATTTATAGACATTTTAGTTTTAAATGTGTGTGTGTGTGTGTGTGTGTTTGATCTTTAAATTCAGATTGATTATTTTGTTTGAAATTTGGAGGCCCTACAAATATGGCTGGACGAGAAGATATGTCTTCCCTTCAAGGAAAGTTCCTTTTTAAATTAATTGACGTGACTCCTGGGCAGCTAGAGATGGTAACGAAATACGGCCCATATCGAAGATTCAGTAGAACCTCAACCTCAAGGCTTTCCTAATGCATCCATTTCTTGTAAAATTTATAGCTAATAAATAAAGTGTGAGTAGTTTGAAATCTAATGTTACTTTTCAAGGATGCTATATATAATTGTGGTGTGTGTGTGTGTGTGTGTGTGTGTGTGTGTGTGTGTGAGAGAGACACACACACACACACACACACACACACAGAGTTTATGGTTGAAGTATTTACGATATTGTGCAAATAAACTTGATAGATGTAAAACATACTAAGTTATAGTAATGTGTAACAGACATATATTTCTAACACAAAAGAAATCATCAACATTTTGTCATCATCTTGTCATCGTAAATATATTGCAAAAAAAACATTTGAAAAATAAAAGTTCTTTCGTTTGTTCGTTCGTCTGTATTCTGCTTGGCTTTTTTTTTATTACCAGCTGGTGATAACAAGTGCTTGTAGGTGTGTCTGGATATGATCTCTTCATCGTCTTCTTGGTCTGCCTCGTGGTCTACGACCATTGAAGGCTTTTGTGTACAGTTTTTACCTCTCTGTAATCTGACGTTCTCTATATATGCACCAGCCATTTAAGTCTATTAGCTCTCATGATGCCAGTGATCAATGTTGATTGAAACATATTAATAATTTGGTTGTTGCTTCTCATTCTCAATTCCCCACTGTTTGCATGTTCAATAAAATACAATTGCTCTATACAAATATGAATCTAATACCATATACCCTACATACAATGGTGTAAGGAAAAAAATCAGTACTTTACTTTAGTCGGTGTTTGTGGCGTAGACGTTGCAAGCGCACTTCGTAATTCTTTAATGCCGGGTTCGGTCCGAGGTGAAGTGGATTTGGTAGCATATCGCCTAGTATTGGTTTAATCAATGGCATGTAGTGGCAAACTACTGAACGTAAAATCGTCTAGTGACATCACCCCCCGCCAAAAAAAAAAAAATAAATACTGGCTTTGGTTCTGCAGCTTTCTGTAAAAGATGCTAGAGCGACCATAATATTTTGAGCTGTAAAAGGGACATCCCAAACAAGTCAGTTTTAACACCACTCAGCTTTTTTCCCGCTTCCTAAATTGTATTAAAGTCCAAAGAACTGTCAAGAAGTATGCGAAACAATATGCTTTTTAACTATACTGACCCCCCCCCCCCCCCCAAAAAAAAAAAAAAAAACATGATTCAATGTGACACTACCAATCAATACATCTTATGCTTTAGAAGTATTTTCTATTGTATGTTCTATTCTTGAGCTAATTGCTCGATTTTCATTTTTATACCAGAATACCGAGGGGACAGCTGGGGCACGCCTAAACTACTGGTGAAAACAGGACGTATGCTTATTCTGTACAACTAACCTTATTTTACTTACTTGTTTACTAAAACACCACCACACTTTTCTAAATCACGTTTGATAATCTATTGACTTACTCGTATCTAAAAGGGAAGATAATCTTGATGTATCTGTCGCAGGTTAGACATGTCAAGTGTAGTACTGAAGAGACAACCAGGCCGAAGGTTAGTCCATGTCTGATCAAGCACTCGATGTAGATTTGATAGTTGGTTAGGTTGTAGGACGCATAGTAGAACATAGACAGTCCAGTCACTAAATCTGCAATCGCCAGGCTGAAACAAATGTTTTAAATGGTGTTAACAAAGACATTTTGTTCTACGAGAATAAAAAAAGATGCCGGTACTCACAACAAAGTGTCTCTTACACAAGCATTGAAAAAAAAAAAATGATGTTATCAAATTAAGGTTCTTGCACTGCATACTGCTAAGACGTGGGGGATGCCTATTGTTAATTTTTGACGGTACCAGGGAATTGACAATACATTAAGGTTAAAGTCGAGAGGATGGACTTCATTGCACTAGGTTTTATCCCATTTAGCATGGTCTCTCTCCGCAGAAAGGCTAACCGCCTGCCGAAAGTGCCACACAGAGCATGGACTCCGTAGTTCTGGTGACATTCCCTATGAGGCAAAGGGCTTGACCACTTCGCAACGGAGACCCCCAAATACGTATATTGGTTAGTCATTACAACTGTGAAACCCAAGGTTAGGTTTAAGAACGTCTTTTTTCTTAGAGGTTAACGAATGTGCTTAACAATTTCATGATCCTCGAGCACTATGGTTCGAGTTACTGCAGTGGACAGTGTTTTCATTAAAAAAAAATGTTTGCGTGGTTTTTTAACTATATTGCGAGTCTTACCATGGCAGGAGATAGACCTCACCATGAAATATTCCATTAGACGGCGGTGGGTGCACTGCAGGCTAACTTTCACTGTGGAAATGGCGCACATTCTTGTTTCCATTTCAAAAATCACCCTCGGTTTACTTAACAGATAGTCCTGAACGCTAGATGGATAAAAAAAAAAAAATAGAAGTATTTGAAACAGACACTATAACCTAAACCAGTGGTTTGCGGTTTGAGGTTTAAACAACGGATCAACATCATGGCACACAGGTAGTAACCCATAAGTACTCCGTTCTTTTTTCAATTCAAGTCCGAGTCCGAAGAAGCTCAGCACAGTGCCCAGGCTCTGTAGCACCAGCGAGGATCCTGAAATACTTTGGGTAGATTTTTAACTCCACATTTTGCCTAGGCAGCGCCGTTAGACTACTCTTTTCGATTTCCAACTGCCAAGGGATTTTTTTACGTGCGCAACAATGCGCACGGGCGTCTGATCTCACTACGCAGAGACCAGGGGGAATTACTAGGTCCAAGTCCACTGTAAACAATTCCAGCCCTTACCGGGGATTGAACCCGGAACCTCCAGCGAAGCAGACACCATGCCTCGAGACCACGCAGCCCTCTTAAACCAGTGCAGACCACCTATCTTTCACGGTTTGGCGGTCGACTAGTAACCAGGCCTTGGTCGACGCGCTGATCACCCCCCCCTCCCTTGCCTTGTAACGTACTATGTAAACATAATATGGACAAGGAACAGAAATACTAAGCTTTCCTATAAAACACAACCGGGAATAATTTTCGTTTTATATCTTTTTTCTGTTCAGTTTCTCTGCTCCTTCTGCTCCATATATGTATTTGTTCAGTTCCGTAAGAATCAAAGATTGTTGGCTAAGGGACCGCAAACTTTAGCATAGACTGTATTAAACAACCATAATAAAAAAGGTCCCTTTTCCACACCTCTAGGCTTATAGGATATATACAGTAAAGGGCCCTTTCCATGCTTTCAGACGCACTGGGTATATAGACCTATATTTTAATAGACCAATCGGCACTCGGTGGATGATGTGGTCAACGTCATGCCGGCCGACTTTACTTCCCAGGACCCGTTTAAGGCTGGGTCGACCTGGGGGCCAAGGTCATTTTTAAAAAAGACCCGTTCTGTCAGGACCTGAACCAATGATCTTCGGATCCAAGGCGAGCGCTAGCCGCTACACCACGGCCACTTCCTAGGATATATTGTGCTAGACCTATATTTTCAGACCAGTCGGCACTCGGTGGATCTGTTTCTTCTTCTTTCCTCTACTCCTGGAATGTCTCGCGGCGTCAGGACGGGAAGCAGTATCTAGAATGGGTCTTCTCTTCGCTTCGTATACAGGACCTTTCATTGTCTCTGATATTTCTGCGGTCCATCTCCTGCGTGGTCGACCTGTTACCATTGTATCTGTATAATTGCGCAATCAACTCACGCAACTTTGTGGGGCCGGTTGGTGTCACTAGGCAATTTTACGCTCAGTAATTTGCTTTTGCTCTGGACGGTCGGCTCTCGATGCCACTGTCCAAATAAAGGAAAGGAGATCTGATGCCAAATCGCTTCTTGTATCAAAGTGATGAATGGTCACTATTCCGGGCGCCTCATCAGAATCTAGGACCACACACAAAAGTTGTTTAGAAGCACTTTTTCTATTTTTTTCCTTAAAGGTGTTCCCTGTCAATTGCAACATTAAAAGTACATTTTCGCCCGTAAAATCTTTTATCTTTCATATACCGATGGTAATGCAAGTATGTGCGTGTCTTGTGGACACTATAAAATCACGTTGTTTCAAACATATTGTTCTAGTCTTTTGTCATTCAGCATATTATTACGCAGTTAGAGACTACTATCAGTGACCGATATTTTACAGCTTGCCTAAAAAGGAGTCAGGTGTTAATGCTAAACTTGATCATATTTTCGTTTGTTTTTGTTTTTAAATAGTCCGTATAACATTTGTATACGATCAAAACACGGTTGAAATAAAACGCCATTAAACAATAATATTGTGTAATAACCCATTATTTTAGAGATTTAAAAACCCTTGAATGAATGATCTTTTCTTCCGACGTTTTATCCTCTTTATGCCTTTTTTAAGGCGTGCTTTTCCACACATATTTAGGTCTTGGCTAATTCAAATCTGCTGTTTTGATAACTAATGAATCCTTTATAATAAGTTTCTCTCACACTTGTTTCTCCGTCGTTTGGTGTGGAAATTATATGCCTTTTTGTTTCTTGAAGCAAATCAATATATTTCTTTGTCCAAAAAGAGTCTTAGGCTCTTAAACAGAGCATGTCTCCCACCAACAAAGGTATTTCATATACTGAGAGCGGAAATGCAAGAGAGGAAGCATTAGTTAACAAAATATCAGACTCAACGATTACATCATAAATATCAACGAACTAAAACTAGAGCATGAATTAAGTAGGGGAGAAATCTAGAGTGGGTTTGTCATTCAATGGAAATAGTGCAAAGTGCCGTCAAACAAGAAAAACGATTATGTTTTAGACGGAAATTGTGACGGGTTGATAAACACAATCACACAAACGCTACGGTTCATAGCACATAAGGTAATGCAATAGTTCAAGAACGGTAATTTAAATGTCCCCGCTGAGTCGTTAAATGAGCTGTATGTTGGGGAGTTGAGGAATTTTTATTTTAAAAAAAAAATGATAATGTTAAGTATGCGCCTGAAGCAAAAGAATAGATAAAATAACTATTAAAATCGATGTAAGTTAACCGAAGTTGAAGTGGTTATATCTAAGAACATGATAATTTGTAATAAGTGGATACAGAGGTTTGGAAATGAACTAGTTATTTTTTTTTCTGTACCAGTTCTACTTTGATTTGTTCTGTGAGAAACAACTGTTACTTCAGGCTACCAACGAATGCGTCTAATTACGTTCAAACAGTAATCATATTAAGTAGAGTACATTTGTGACTGGGTGGCTAAACGTAACAGCTTGATAAAGCTTTGAAGAATTAAGGGAAGCGTATCATTCAAGTAGAACCATAAACTGATGGGGAGTTTTATGTGAGCAAAGACAAATGTAAAATGAACATTAAATTAAATTGAAAAATACTAGAACAAATAGCAAGCTTCTCGTCTCTTTGACATGTCGTATCACATGAAGGCATACAGGAAATAGAAAACAATAAGACAATACGAGTAATCAAAATGTTTTTGAAATAATGAGAAAAATATCAGCAAGCGAGCTGGCGCACACACACAAACATACACACACTGACACAGAGAGTTCAAGCGTGAAACGTACGCATACACACACAAACACACACATGAGAGAGAGAGAGAGAGAGACAGAGAGAGAGACAGACAGAGAGACAGAGAGAGAGAGAGAGCATGTTTAAAATTAGAACCACCAAAAGTCATGCATTCTGAATCCTACTACGCAGCACTGATATATCAACACAAATAAACGGATAGCAGAACAGAATTTGTCCTTTCTAAGGGAACTGAAACATCAAATACTAAGAAGAGCTATCCAACTATGTTTTTTTTACAGACAAATGACTGACTGACTTTCTACCCCACCAGGACATCACACAAGCGATAAACACCCGATGACACAGTGTGCCACCATGTGGATGAGGATCACCGTGGAGAGGTCACAGAAACCGCGTTCAGCCTTTAGGCTATATTTATGGCCAGGCTACATTGCGGCCCCTGGCAAGAGCCAGAGTAGGGCTTCAAAGAACGAACAATTTCATCCTATAAAGGACGAGAAGTAATGATTACAGGCAAATGAAATGTAACAGCTCTATAAGAAAACATATTTAAACTAATTCATGTATTGTCTTATTGTGCCTTATCAGTCACACAGGGCTCCTCCAGTCTACTCCCCCATTCCGGTGTCTTGTCAATCATTTCGATATAATGGATGTTGTCCAGTCCAGCACCTTTGGCTTCTCTCATCAACGTTCGCTTTATTGTTTCTCTTGGATGTCCTTGTTTCCTTAATCCCTTTGTCTTCCCCTTCAGTGCCTGTTTGGTGATTGTTTAACTCTTCTGAAAACGTGTCCAGTATAGCACCATCTTCTATGTTTTATAATTGTTGATACCTGTGGTTGCAATAGGTCTAGCCCTATACGCCCAGTATGCATGAAGGCGTGGAAAGGGTCCTTTACTTGTTGTTGTCCAGACATTTCTCATTTTTCCCCGTCTATTTTGATTTTTAAAAAAATACTGTAGAGTAAAGACTAAGACAGACGTGCAAGGAGTAGACAGCTGAACAATTGGCAGGACAACATGAAGAGGTACTTGAACAGCAGTCAGAACAAGAGGCAGCAGGTATTTGAGATCCATTGTCGATACGACACCCAAATGAAAGAAATATTAGGTGTACCATTAGGTATTCTTTGATCCATCGATCCATCAGTTTGTCCCATGCTGGCTGCTACCTGAAATTTTAAAAATCCCAATCTGGATGGCAAACCACAACAGCAGATCCCAGTTCAACCCCCAAAGAAGTTATATTAAGGGGTTCAGACTTCCGTTCCACATTGCAGGACTAGGCACGGCAGAGTGTATAGCTTTGAACTTATTTTTGCTACCGACAGCGCTTTGCTAGTGCAGTTTCCACATCTGACGTAAGTCTACGGTTTCGCTTCCTGAGCTACTGAGTTTATTGCTTAATATAGCATTGTGAGCTGTGTTTTTCGTTTGTGCAGCGGCGAGTCGTGGTATTAAATATGACCGGTAACCGGTTTACGTGTGGGCTGGTGAAATACCCTATGTAATTATTTTACGTGTGTCTTCTTCTTCATTTCCTCTTTTACCGCTGCGGGTGTCGAGGGAGATATAAGGTTCTGTTTCTAGCTCTTCTGGCCGCCTCGACCATAGGCACATCGAGTTGTTGTAGAGTTTCTCTGATGTTATCCTTCTATACTGTTCTTGGTCTACCTCGTGCTCTACGTCCTTCTTCTCTTTCCATGTATGTTTTGTATGGTATGGTGCCACAAGGCATTCTCTCTAAGTGGGCAAACCATTTCACTTGCTGTCTTGTATGTAATTTAGAATCGGTTACATGTGTATTGACAACTTATCGTGGTTTTGTCCGATTAGCAAGTGTCTTATGCAATTACTGCGTGCGCATATTTCTGGATTGTGCTAGGACTAATTTTCTTTACCAGATTTTCAAATGGGACAGTGATTGATATTTCATTTTATTTTCATTGGCACAGGAACAGAGAAAGTAAATGGTGACCAAATTGCAGTGGAGTTGAAACCTCGACTACGAGTTATGCTAGGATACCTGTAACGGCTACACAGGCCAGGTGTGACCTGTAGTCCTAAACAAGTAAGGACAACGTATTATTTGAGCGTCAAAGCGGTAATTATTTATCCAGGTGACTGCATCTTCATGCACATGTACTGCTTTTGACTTTTATTCCCCATTGAAACATACATTTTTAACCATCAGGCATTTGGTGCGACTTATTTACACTTAGACGATTCGGCACTTTGCTGGTGACAGGGTCACCATCAAATCTTTATTCTCCAAGGTATTTTCTCCAATGTCATGCGTATGCGGAAAGCAAAGGGAAACAGCCACGTTATTATTAGAAGAAACATCATAAAGAAAGAAACTGGCTAGTAAACAGCATCTTGTGGCGAAAATGAAATATTTTGGCCATATTAATCGCCTTTGCGGACTGGAAAATATAGCAGCAGACGAAATGGCCTAGGATAGAGAGGCCGACAAGTAGGAAGATGGGCACAGGATGTAGTTTTTTACCACCTGTGTAGGAAAGTGCACGAGGCGGGAACGTTGCCGAGAGACCGAGTTTATTTCAGGCAGACAGTCAGGAAAGCAATGTTCTGTAAAGGAGAAACGTATCATACGTTCATAAGTTCCAACCTAAAAGCCCAAAGAATGCACGATGGACCGATTTTATGTGTCTCTTTACTACCCCTTGGGCCTGTGTTGCTAAACCTTCTGGGACTCAAAGAGTTAATGAGGATGATAATTTCCTGATATTCATTAGGCTGGATCGACATGAGGCTCAGGTTATTTATAAAAAAAAATGAAAACAATCCGTTAATGTGGTTTGCTATGCATTAATCAAGTAACAGAAAGTGTATTGATCGGCACTCATAGAAAGAAGTAGATAGACAGAAGAACACACTAGACAACATAGGTTTGCTATGCAGGAGTTTAGCAGCTACACCACTGCCGTTGGGTTTTAAAAAAATTAAACGATTTACTAATTTCAGTAAAAGTCGGGAGGATCAACTTCATTGCATCAGGATTTATCCTGTTTGGCTCGGTTTGTCTTCACAGATCAGCTAGCCACCTGCTGAAAACATCACACACAGCACGAGTGACGATCCGCTGGGATCTCCCTAAAAACTGCACTCGGGAAACTAACGACGCTTTCTTAAAAACTAACACACGAGCTTCATATCGGGAGGAAAACTGCTTGACCATTTCAGTACGGAAGCTCTCATATGTCCAACAAGTGCATCGTCATACAAACCTGCACAACATAACGTCCGTGGGCTCTGCGGGTACCTTCAACCTGATCATTGTATCCAGCACTATGGCGTTTAAGACAACTATGGCTGCTCCCAAAAAGACGATAGAACTGTTAGTTATAAGATCATAAGGCGTTACTCCATAGCCATTTAAAGCCCAGAAAACAACACTGTCGCTGTCTTTTGAGAAGTTTGAAGTCCACATTTGACTCAAAGTCGGTGTTCCGTGAAACGATGAATTTAGTTTCAACCCGAAAGTCTCTGTCGATTAAGTTTTTGTTGATAAAAGATTTGCATCTGAAAAACAAACAGGAAAATCGTAGTATTATATTAGGTATTATGATTGTAAAGTTGATAACACTAAATATATGAACAAATGCATAAACACACACACGCACACATACACACCCACACGCGCGCGCGCAAACACACACAGACGTCTGTACATGGTGGGGTATCTCTGCTCTAAAAAAATATTTCGGGTGCTCAATCCTCAGTAATTTTTGTTGTTGGTTGTTTAATGTGCTTCAGGTTTCCCTTTTCATCTGTAACGAGTGTTGACGTAGCACCGTGTTGATGTATTTTAGATTTCATTCTTTTTCGGTAAGCAAATGTAGACAGCTCTGGCACATTTTAAAGCATTTCACCCCCCCCCCCTCCCCCCAACAATGCTGTAATATACACTATGTTTTAGACACTTTATGGTGGTTACCTGCACTTTTTTTGTTCTATGAAAAGAAGTGCCTTGTTAAAGAAAGCCTAGTCGAAAAAATGCTCCCACTTTTTTAATGTTAAAATTGAAACAGTACAGTTTCAACTAAAATCCTAGGGGATTGAATTGCCCAAACAGTTTTATCTATACCCTCCAGTTACGGCCCCTGGCCATTTATTTTGAGTCTAACAATCCTGTTGTCCAAAAAACACCACAGGACAGCTGCCTTTTCTGGGTTAATTACAGCACTCATCTCTGTACACCAGTCGATTACCTTATCTACTGTCGCCTGTAACTCTTCAGCTTTTTTATTCCGATCTCTCCCCTTCCTATATACGAGAACATCATCTCCAAATATCAGTATTCTGCCAACTACAGGTGTTTCAATGAAGGCAATCTTGCTCGTAAAAACATTAAACAGTACAGGTATTATTTTCCTTACGTCCTTCTTAGGACGTAATTCTTTTGTTATTTGAAGCCCCACTCTGGCTTTTGCCAGGGGCCGCAATATAGGCAGGCCATCGATATGGCCAGTTGTCTGAACGCGGTTTCTGGGACCTCTCCACGGTGATCCTCATCCGCATGGTGGCACTTTGTGTCATCGGGTGTTTATCGCTTGTGTGATGTCCTGGTGGGGTAGAAAGTCAGTCAGTCAACAGTACAGGTGAAATTGCAGATCCTTGTGGCAGTCCTGGGGTTAAATACATGGTTCAGAGGTCCATGAACCCAGGCGGAGAGCTACCCGGCTAGTATAAAAAACGGCTACTATATAATTCACCAACCAAGGACAGCCTTCCTTCTCCATAAGCGCTTTCATCAAGATACTGTATCTGACTCTGTTTTAAGCGCCTTCTAAATCGAGTGACGCTGCTACCGTTTCCTGACTGTTCTGGAAGCCTTCGAAGGTATCAAAGGCAAAAGTGGCTGCATTTGACCATGTCTCCCTTCCCGGTCGGTAACTTCCCAAACCTCGTGGAAGGAGATTTATCTGTTTCAAATTTGTTTTTAGCTTACTGGCCACTATCTACTCCAGCACTTTACCAAAGGTGTTTTGTAGGGTTGTGATAATAAAGCCGCTGAGTGTTGAATGATTTTTGCCAGGTTTAGGAAGTGGAATCAGGTAGCTGTGCATCCACTCTTCTTGGACTGAAACTGTCCTAATACTCTGGTTGAAACAAGCAGTCGTCTCTAACGTCTGCATCACTCATGTTTTTCATGTGGGAATATCTAACCCCGTCGGGCACGGGTGCAGTGTCTGTCGCCCTTTTTAGAACACGTTTTACATCTTCCACCTGTATGA